CACTTGAGCCACAGCGCCACTTCCGGCTTTTTTCTTTTTTCTTATGTGGTACTGAGGAATCGAACCCAGGGCCTCATGCATGCAAGGCAAGCACTCTCCATGAGCCACCTTCCCAGCCCCTGTTTTAGTTATTTTTGAGACAGAGGGTCATGTTTCTGCTTGGACTGGCTTTGAATGGCAGTCATTCCTTTTCTGCCTTCTAAGTAGCTGGTGTGGTGGCATCTACACCAGTGTTCAGGTTTTGGACCAGGTGTGTATAATGCGTCTTTCCAGCTGCTAGGCCTTGGGCTAGTCACTCTGCCCTCTGAGCCACTGTCTCTTTCGCTGGAGAATAGTGACCCATTGTCAGAAAGGACAGTCTTGTCATTCTAAGTACAGCCAATTTTAGCTTTCCACCTGAGCGTAAAGATACGTGGTCTCTTCGTGTGTATGAACATCCTGTAGAGCATAGATAGACATGTGCTGCCTTGCAACTTGGAGAATTTGCTCTGTTCTCTTGTGTGGTAACTAGAACATTCCTTTTCCCCGGCATAGGATGTCCTGGGCTGCAATGTGTCTCCAGTACCTGGGTTCCAGCCCCAAGATGAGAGCCTGGTGTATCTCTGCTATGCAGTCTCGAAAGAAGATGGCTCCTTCTCCTTCTATTCCCTGCCCAGTGGGGGTTACGCCGTGGTGAGAAGCAGTTCTGCTCTGTTTCTGTTTGGGATGCTTACAACCTGGTACAAACCCAAGCCAGATGGGTGGTGTTAGCTTTCCTTCACGGTGACAGGATTTCAGTTCAGGCTTCTACACATGGCCAATTGACCTTTGGGCCTGTGGCAAGGCAAATTATCATGGCGGGAGCAGGTGTTGGAGGACACCTGTTCACCTGGTAATGGCCAGGAAGCACAGAAGGCCAGGAGCAAGGCCTGGATCCCAACATTTGCTTCCAACACACCCCCAGTCACCTCACTTCCTCCCCCAACCTTTCCCCCAAGGCTCAACCCAGGACTGGTGATCAGGCATTTAGACCTAGGTCTTTGGGAGACATTTCAGATCCAGTCTCAAAGAATCAAGGGGTTTGTTTGCTATCTCATGGACACTATTTAGCAGGCGAGGATGAACCTCTCTACTCTGCAATTCTGAAATCTGACATGCTCCAAAATGCAGAATGCTTTAAGCACCAGCCTGATGCCACAGGGGAAAATTCCATGTTGTGAATTTCATGCCTTGATCATAAAAATGTAGCATAAAGTTACCTTTGGCCAATGTCATAAGTAAGTTGTGTGTGTAACATAAATGAATTCATGTTTAGACCTCAGTTCCCTTCCCAGAGATCTCCTTTTAAGATAGACACACAGATTCGAGCACTTGAAACATCCCGCAGTGCAGAGCACTCCTGATCCCAAGAGTTCTGAACATGGCATGCCCGGGCCGCGCTTTCCCTGGACACGGGCCGCTCAGGGAGCGCTGCAGGAAGCTCAGGGCTTTCTGAGCTCAGATCAGCCACAGCCGCCAGCTGCAGCTAATGTTTTTCCCAGCCCCTTGAGCCCCTTGTCATCTATGACTGCTTGGTCACTGGTTAACACTGTCCATCGTGGTAACCAGCGCGCCATCCCTTCCAGGTTCCCTTCTACAGAGGTGAGAGGATCACCTTTGATGTGGCCCCTTCCAGGCTTGACTTCACAGTGGAGCACGACAGCCTGAGGATCGAGGTGAGACGTCCTCTGCTCTGTCCCATCCTGGACTCAGGCCAAGTTGCCAGTGGCTCAGCGGCTCACGCCGGTAATCCTAGCAACTCAGGAGGCTGAGATCTGGGGATTGTGGTTCAAAGCCAGCCTGGGCAAGAAAGTGAAGAATACAGTCTACAGATCCATCAGGTTGGAGTCATCTGTTAGGTTAGGGTCTGTACACATCTAGCTTCTAACACAAACCTTTGATTGTGCCTATCTGAATGAATAAGGGGGCAAATGCCTTAGGAGTATAGCTCTGTGATAGAGCAATTGCCCAGTATGTGTGAGGCCCTGGGTCCCATCTCTAGCAACACACACACACACACACACACACACACACCGGGAAGATGCAAATTGATGCACATGTTTTTTACACACACACCGGGAAGATGCAAATTGATGCACATGTTTTTTACACACACACACACCACACACACACACCGGGAAGATGCAAATTGATGCACATGTTTTTGAAAGGATCAGGGCCTCCTGGACGAACCAGAAGCCGTTTTAGAGCTCTCCTTCATTCAGCAGTCATTTGTTCAGTGCTTGGTATGGTCCAGGTGGCTGGGGCAAGAAAGGTCCCTGTCCTCACCAGCATACATTCTAGAGGCAGGGAGACAGACTCTATGGACAGACAGGACAGTTGGGGTCCTGGCGAGTCACAGAGAACTAGGTTGGTGGTGAACTGGAGGCAGCAGAGCAGGGTCAGCTGTGCTGCACCTGCAGACAGTGCTGAGTGAGGTGAGTTCCCACGGGGCAGACGACAGACAAAGGACCACATGCTAGGCGCTGCCCTGGGGTTGGCAGGGGTGAACTGGCTCTAGAGCCTGGCAGGGCTGAGATTCTGGCTTGGGAGAAAGTCAGGTGAGGGCCTTTGACCTGGCGGGGCGGGTGGCGGCGGTGGTGGTGGTAGTAATCATGAGGTGGGCTGACACTGGAGGGATGGGGCGGGGTCCAAGGTGATGCTGGAGTTGGGAGGCAGTGGCCTGGCCGTTGGAGGTGAGTCTGCAGGTTCTGTCAGCTTTGTCCTTGTGTTGGGAATGTGATAACGAAGACGGATGCTGGCCACAGGGCTGGGAGAAAGCAGTGAGGGGGGTGGGGGTGGGGGGCACGATGTGCTGGGCAAGAGGCGGCCTTGGTGGCCCAGATCCCTGACCCCTTTCTCCCATCTTCATTGTCTAGCCTGTGTTCCATGTCATGGGATTCTCTGTCACTGGGAGGGTCCTGAATGGACCAGAAGGAGAAGGCGTCCCAGAGGCCGTGGTTACTCTGAACAACCAGATCAAAGGTGGGCAGACATGCTGGCTCCTGGCCTGCTCAAGCACTGCTCTTGGCCCGTGGAGAGGAGCAGAAGGGAATGAAATCTGAATGGCGGGCTTGGGTCTCACGGATTCCTATGTAGGTGGGGTGCACACAGTGGGTTTTCAAATGTGTTCTGTTCCAGTCAGAACAAAGGCCGATGGCTCTTTCCGCCTGGAGAACATAACGACGGGGACGTACACCATCCATGCCCAGAAGGAGCATCTGCACTTCGAGACCATCACCATCAAAATTGCCCCCAACACCCCGCAGCTGGCCGACATCATCGCCACAGGGTAGGTGATGACCTAACGCTTTGGGGTCCATATCCAGTGTCAGCACCTGTTAGGACATTCAGTCGGCTTTCTTTGCCCCCAACCCCCCCAACCTAGGTTACCATTTGAGCCACGCCCCAGCCATTTTTGCTTTACTTTTGATAGGGTCTCATGTTTTTGCCTGGTCCCAGCCTTTAGACTGTGAGCCTTCTACCTGTAGCCTCCTCAGTACCTGAATGGTGGGCATGAGCCTGGACCATTCCAAACCATAGTTGGAGGCCTTGAAGCTGCAGGCTAGCTCTGCAGGGTGGAGGCTAGTCGGGGAAGGCCTGTCCACAGCTGGCAGGGGGCATCAGGGACACATTGGGAAGATACCTAGGGGTCCTGTGGGTCTCCAGCCGGGGACCGGTAGGTGATGGGACCACATGGGTCTGAAGGACCACTAGATGGCGCCCTGCAATAGATGCTGGATATCTGAACATCCTGATTGGGCTACAGGTGGTTGTGGGAACTTCAGGTAGGTTAGAGCAGGGAGAACTGGAAGAATACCAGTGAGAAAGTGTAGTGCTCTGGAGGGGGTGGTCTAGGGCAGGAGAAAGGACGTTTACTACTAGAAAAAATCATCCAGTGGTGTGGTCACGAAGGAACCATGGAAACTATGGGCAGGTTGGGGGGCGGGGCGGGAGGGGTGTCAGGATCTGGGGTGAACCAGAGATGAGGAGGCAAATCACCCTCAAAAAATACAGGCTGCCTTTAAGCCATCCCTCCATGGCTCCCAACCTTTCTTCCCTGTTGGTGATGAGTTCGTGTGCTAGGCCAGTGTGCCACCACTGAGCACAGATCATTTTTCTTTCTTTAGTTCAAAGGAAAAAAATATAAACATATCTCCCATCGCCACCACGCACCCGTTTGCTCTGATAAGCAGTATCTCCCCAACACAGCTGCAGGTCGCTGTCTGGGCCCCATTTACCCCTGGCTTCCTTCCAATCCAGGCTCCACCCAGCAGCCGGCAGAAGCCAGAAAGAGTCCTGTTGCACCCCATTGACAACACCTAAGGGTCTCCCAAGGGATCAGGAGAGAAAGCTGTCCTCTTCCCCCCGTCCCCCAAGCCAGTCACAGGGCTGGCTCTCTGCTAGCCTTGTCACCTGCCTCCAGTCACTTCCTCTGGCTCAGTTCCTTTTCTCCCCTGCTCAGGAAGCTGGTTACTTTCTGACCTTGATTTTCCCTAGGTCTTGGCAATCCAGAGGCCTTCTAGGCCCCTGACCTACCCTGCTGCTCTGCTCAGAGCTCTGGGCTCTTCCAGCCCACGGCTCAGGCTCACTGATGATCAAATCTGCGGAGTCCTTGCTTGCCTCCATGTGGGGTAGGTGGCATGCGCCACGTCAGCTAAATAGAGAATGGTGACTGTCCCTTCCAGCACTGTCCCTCCTGGCACCATTATGTTGGTTGCTGCCAGTGAGCAGATGTGCCTTCCCATGGTTTTTTTTGTGTTTTGTCTTTTGCTGGTCTTAGGGTTTGAACTCAGGACCTAGGTGCTGTCTATGAGCTTCTTTTGCTCAAGGCTAGTGCTCTACCACTTGAAGCACAGCACCACTTCTAGCTTTTTCTGAATAGTTTATTGGAGAGAAGAGTCTCATGGACTTGCCTTCCTGGGCTGGCTTTGAACTGTGATTCTCTGATCTCAGCCTCCTGAGTAGCTGGATTACAGGCGTGAGCCACTGGTGCCTGGCTCCTATGTTTCTTATACATCATTCACTTGTAGGTTCTAATCTGAGTTGTTCTTTCTTTTGATTTTGAGACAGTGTCTCCCTATATAGCCCAGACAGGCCTGGAATCCTCCATCCTTCTGCCTCAGTTTCCAGTGTGAACATTAAAAATGTATGCACCACCATCACACCTGGCTCTTTGGGTTTTTCTTTCCTTTTTTTTTTTTTTTCTGCTATTCTGAGGACCAACTCCAGGCCTTGCTAGGCAAACACTCTTCCACTGAATTAAATCCCCAGCCCTCCATCTTAATGCAACTTTACAAATTATAAGTTGTTTTTTTGTGATTCTCAGCTATACTAAGAAGTTCAGTTTAAGCTTTGCAAGTTTGTTTTCTCGTCTTGAGGCGTGAAGGTAGAGCCTTGTGCTTGCTAGGCAGGTGCTCTATACATGAGCCATCCCCAGATCTCCAGTCCTTTGTGCTTTTCTTTTTAGGTCTGAGACTGGAACTTGCACTCATTGGCTAGCTCCCTACCAACTGAACTTTGCCTCCAACTCCTCTTTATGCTTACATTTTTTGTTGTAGTTAATATTTGGATAGATCTTATGTTTTTCCCTGGTTGGGCCTGGACTGAGATCCTCCTGTTTATGCTTCCCAAGTAGCTGGGGTGACAGGCACACACCACCCCCTTCAGCTATTGGTTGACATAGAGTCTCACCAACTCTTTTCCCTTGGTGGCTTCAAACCTCAATCCTCTTTCTGCTTTCTAAGTAGCTGAGATGACAGGCACGAGCCACTGTACCTGGCTTAGCTTTGTGCTCTTCACTCAGTTTTCCTTTGTGTGCAAGTCTCTCCGCTTGCTTTTGTCCCTGGATTGCATCTGAACACAGGGAGGCCTCTGATGGCCTGGCCTTAGCTTGTATGCTGGCCAGTGGCAGTATTTCTTGGGAGGCTTTATAGCTCTTTAGCGTTGAGGGTTAGCTCACGTTAGTCCCTGTCTCATTGCCAATAATTCAGTCTCACACTTTCATATCGGAGGATTTTCTGAAAATCACTTCTGCAGTGAGAGGTTGTCAGACATTACCTGAAGCTGCCACAGGCTCCTGCAGAGGGAGGCTGCTCTACTTCCTGTGAGCAGCTCAGAAAAGCAGAGCCTCATGGGTGCACTCTGTCTCTGCCTTCAGTCCACACAGTCTGAGGCCTGCCGGCCAGAAGAGGGGTGTGCATAGGAGCTGCTCAGAGCCACTCTCCCTTGCAGCCATAACTGAGTTCTCCTGCGGGCTCCTTGCAGGTTCAGTGTCTGCGGCCACATAACAATTGCGCGCTTCCCCGATGCCGTCAAGCAGATGAGTAAATACAAGGTGGTGCTGTCGCCCCAGGACAAGGACAAGGCGCTGGTCACTGCGGAGGCGGATGCTCACGGCTCATTTTGCTTTAAAGCAAAACCAGGGGCTTACAAAGTCCAGGTGAAGTATTGTCAAAAAATAGTTGGCAGGAGAGTTTATGAGCTCAAAAGGAGGCTCAAGAAAGAGCATTTTGGTTTCTGGCTCTTTCTTATTTATTTAATTTATTTAATGCCTGTTCAGGGCCTGAGTGCTGTCCCTATAGCTTTTGTGCTCAAGGCTAGCGCTCTACCACTTGAGCCATAGCTCCACTTCTGGCTTATCTGGTAGTCAATTGGAGATAAGAGTCTCATGGGCTTTACTTTCCCAGGCTGGCTTTGAACTATGATCCTCCGATCTCAGCCTCCTGAGCTGCTAGGATTATAGGCATGAGCCACTGCATCGGACACAGCTTTAAGCCTTCCTATCCTTGCCTGTCGTGTTGGTAGAGCCTGCAGATGTCCAGCTGAGAAATGATGTGGGAGGTCTCTCCTCATGATATGGTCACTGCCCCTCCCTGGGAAAAGGGAAACACATCCCTAGCGTGTGTTCTATGTGACAGGAAGTCAGGGGAAGGGGCTAGCATGATAAGATTCCAGCCAGAGCCCAGTGGTAGCTGTCAGGGCCGCATCCCTCTGGTGAGAGTTGATTTTGAATAGAAACACGTTTCCTTCAACCAGATGACTTCCGGGTTTGTCGTGATTATAAAACTAGGCCGAGAGATGAGCGCTTGTCCTTCCAGATCCACTCAGCTCTGTGCCTCCGGGGAAGTTGTGGTGCCCTGTGCACTAGGGGCCAAGGAGCCCTGCAGCCGCTGACGTGGCTCCCTGGGTTCCCGCAGGTGGTGGTGCCCGAGGCTGAGACCAGAGCCGGGCTGATGCTGAAGCCCCAGATGTTTCCTCTCACGGTGACCGACAGGCCCGTGATGGACGTGGCCTTCGTGCAGTTTCTGGCGTCTGTTTCTGGGAAAGTCTCTTGTTTGGGTAAGATGTCAACTGAAGGCCAGAACAGGCGACAGGGTGGCAGGGGAGGAGAAGGAGGTGCAGAAGTGGGAATCGTAGGTGTTATTAATGGCAGTGGCTGCTTTTAAACCCAGGGGTTTGGACTCCATCTTGCATGGTGTTCTTCCCTCCCTCCCTCTCTCCCTTCTTCCCTTCCTTTTTTTTTTTTTTGTCGGTCATGGGGCTTGAACTCTGGGTCTGGGTGCTGTGTCTCTCAGCTCTTCAGCTCAAGGCAAGCGCTCTACCACTTGAGCTACAGCGCCACGTCTGGTTTTCTAGTGGTTTATTGGAGATAGGAATCTCACCGTCTTTCCTGCCTGGGCTTTGAACCGAGACCCTCAGATCTCAGCCTCCTGAGTAGCTAGGATTACAGGCGTGAGCCACCTGCACCCGGCTCCTCCCTTCTTACCTCTCTTCCTTCCTCCTTCCCTCCCTTCCTTCCTTCCTTTTTTCCTTCCTTCTTTCCTCCCTTCCCTTCTTCCCTCCCTTCTTACCTTCCTTCCTTCCTTCTTCCCTCCCTCCCTTCCTTCCTTCCTTCCTTCTTTCCTCCCTTCCCTTCTTCCCTCCCTTCTTCCCTTTCTTTCTTTCCTCCCTCTCTCTCTCCCTCCCTCCCTTCCCTTGCCTTTCTTTCCTTTCTTTTGTAGTCCCGGGGCTGAATTCTGGGCCTGGGCACTGTCCCTGAGCCATTTTGGATCAAGGCTAGAGCTCTACCACTTTGAGCCACATCATCTGCCCTCCCCTCCCCTCTCCCCTCCTTCCCCTCCGCCCTCCCTCCCTCCCCTCTGCTCTTCACTCCTGTTGTTGCATAGATGTCTCCCCAACCCATCTTGTCTCAGTAAGTGTCCTGTAATGTGGCTCTCGCTCCCCCCTTTTCTCCTGACCCTGACAGGCCGCTGGGTGAGTGTGGGGTCCCCCACCACTGGCGCCTCCACTGCTTGCCGCTGGCCTTGGCGTTCAGAGACACTGGCTTTGCTGGAGCGCGGCTCCAGGAGGCCGTGGGCTGTGCGTGTGAGTGAGTGGTGCAGGTTGAAGGTCCACAGTTCACGCATGGCAGCACACCCAGCCCTCTTGGCTTTCCTCTGCAGACACCTGTGGCGACCTGCTGGTGACGCTGCAGTCCTTGAGCCGCCAGGGCGAGAAGCGGAGCCTGCAGCTCTCGGGCAAGGTCAATTCCATGACTTTCACGTTTGACAACGTCCTGCCAGGGAAATACAAAGGTGAGCAGCGCAGGGGCCGCCTCCTGTGTTTGTGAACTGCCCCAGCCTCCTGTCTGCTGCGGGGAAGGTGCCCCAGTCAGGCCGTTTTCTTTCTAAATGCCAGAGCGGAGGGTATGATGCAGATCCACTCAGGCATGATTGGGGCTGGTTGATCAGGCCTCCCCAGCCCGCTTGTCCCTCTGAAAAATGGCCACAGCACAGCCTTTGGCTGGCATAAATAGCTTCTAAAGTGGATTTGCGATTCTGGGCACAACCCTGAAGACTGACTGCCTGTTTGTGTAGAAAGTGGCCACACCATTAGTTCTTGTGTCAAGCTACCATGGCAGAGGCCATAGCTGAGCCCTACAAAGCTGAAAAGAAGCCAGGGATGGTGTCCGGCATCTGTAGTCCCAGCTTCTCAGCGCTGAGGCAGGATCACTGGAGTTCAGCAGTTGTAGGCCAGCCTGGGCAATTGCAGTGAGACCTTGCTCTGCTCCGGCCTCCAAACAAAAACAAGACTGTCTCCAGGTCCCCTGCATTTCTTACAGCCCAACTTTTCAGCCCAGTAGGATTTCTTTCTTGGTGTTTGTGGCTGTCGGTCTGTTTTGCTTTAGCCATAATCTGTTCTGAGCATCAGTACCTGTGTGTATTTGTACATGTATGTATGTACACATGTACACACACCATTTTAGCTGTCTTTGAACTCTCAATCCTCCTGCCTCAGCCTCCCAAGCGCCGGGATTCCAAGTATACGCTACCATACGTGGCTCAGGCACAAATACACACACACTCTGCCCCTGGGGGCTGCGTGCAGTATGGCAGCTCAAGGCCCATCATCTCTGGTTGCTTTGCAGCCAGCATAATGCACGAGGACTGGTGCTGGAAGAACAAGAGCCTGGAGGTGGAGGTTCTGGAGGACGACGTGTTGGCTGTGGAGTTTCGGCAGACGGGCTACATGCTGAGATGCTCCCTGTCTCACGCCATCACACTGGTACGTGCTGCCTGGAGCAGGGAGCTGGGCTGCTGGACGTTGGGACGTCGTGGCTGTGGTGGAATTAAGCTTCTTTGGTGGCCTACCTGTTTGGCCTACCTTCTTCATCCTGCCCGGAGGCCATGGGTATAGAGCCACGCGTGCTGGCGTCCAGCACTTTGAGCACGTTCACTTCCTTTTTCCTCCGATCGTAACCTCCGCCTCTCACGTTCTCAGTGAATCTCTTAGTGTTCAGCGTTTCCTTGGCAAACGCTACTGTTTCTTAAGAAGTGTGGAGGGCTGAGCTGTTCTCTTATTGGCTGGCTTGGCCTGATGGCAGCCCTCACACGGATCCTGGGGGAGGGAGCAGCTGTATCCCCTGCCCAGGAGTTGCCTACCCTCCACGCCCTGCTGCTGGTGGGCCCCGGCCACAGGCGCCTTCTCCAGTTCCAGCCCATGCTCTTTCCCTCCACTGTGCCTGGGCACCTGCTCGTCTCTCTGCTGGAGGGTGCATCTTCTCTGCAAAGGCAGGCAGCTCTTTCTCCTGGTACAGACTGTAATCCCCAAGTTCCCCAGGCAGGACAGCTTAGGGACTGCCAAGGGCCATCCCTCCCGTGCTCCATTCTATGTTTTTCTGAGCTCTAATGCTTCCTAGCTGAAGTCACTAAGTCATTTATTGACATGTTGATTTTCTTATTTCTCAAATTGAAAGGTAAGCCCCCCTCCATCCAGGCTCCTCTTCCAAGGGCCATCCCCAGGCCCTTCCCCTTGACATCTTGACTCCCCTGCCCCGGCTCCCAAGACCTTCCCTGAGACCCTGCCTCCCCACATCCCGCCTCCCCAGGCCTTCTCTTGAGACCCTGCCTGGTACTTGTCTAATAGCAGCGCTCAGTAAACAGGAGTGGATTGGCTGGAAAGAGCACGTATTTGTGGGACATTTTTGAAGGTTTTAATTTTCCTGTGGCACCCAACAGCTCAGATGATTAATGGACAAAACAGATGAGTGGTTAGGAACAGAAATATGATTAATCATCGTGGTATCCGCATCTTGCCTGTAAGTCACTGTGCCGGCTCTGGTCCCTCAGGAGTTTTATCAGGATGGAAATGGACCTGAGAACGTGGGGATTTACAACCTCTCCAAAGGAGTGAACCGCTTCTGCCTGTCCAAGCCCGGTAGGTCCAGAGGGTTGGTGGGCCGTGAGTTGGGGAATGAGGTGGGGAAGGTCCCCAGGTTGGTTTTCCTGCCTTGGTTCTCTAAGCAGCAGGTGATTTCGTCAGCTTTGGTTGGTTTGGTGTTCTCTTGCTTTTCCTTCTCTTCCCGTGCAGGCAGGGTATTCTGTTGGCTTGAGGTTGAGCTGGGTAGAGACAAAGGACCTTAGTGGTCTTACAGAAATCAAATCATCTCCCACTTGGCCAAAAACCTCCCGTGGCTTCTCTCTCTTTTTACTTGATTGAGAGAGACTTTGCACACCATATGAAAGTTCACTCATTTGGGGACTGGGGCATCTCTCAGTGGCAGAAGGCCAGCTTGGCATGCTGGAGACCTGGGTTCAACCCCAGTTGCCAGGGCAACACCAAGCAAAATAATCACTCAAGTAAGCAATACAATGCAGTGATTTTCAGTACATCTCCCAAGTCCTGCTGTGCTGAGCAGACCTAGCCTTAGGACATTTTCAAGGCCCCCTAAATATAGTCCTTTGGGCCTGATGATAGTTGAGTCCATTTCTCAGCAGTAGCTGACTGTCTCCTCTGTGTCTTCCACTCAGGGCTCCTGCTGGGTCTGGCTCCTCCCATGTAATACAGTGTCGCATGGTGGCATGTACCAGTGGGTTGTGTCCTTTTTTTTCTCGCTGTATCATATTCCATTATGTGGCTCTGGGACAGTTGCACTTATTTTTTATTTTTATTTTTGCCAATCCTAAGGCTTGAACTCAGGGCCTGGGCACCGTCCCTGAGCTTCTTTTTGCTCAAGGCTAGCACTCTTATTCCTTGAGCCACAGTGCCACTTCTGGTTTTTTCTGAGTAGTTTAGTAGAGATAAGAATCTCGTGGACTTGCCTGCCAGGGCTGACTTCGACCTCTCTCCTCAGATTTCAACCTCCTGAGTAGCTTTAGTTGTAATCACAGGTGTAGACCACTGGGGCCCCGATGACCTCCCGTGGTGGGAAAGTAGTTAAGCAGCCGGGCTGCAGGAGCTGTTCCCCAGCCAGCACCCGCCCGGCCTCCGCCTGCGCTGCACCTGGTTGTCCCTCTTCATCCCTAGTTCTTGGTGGATGTCCCTTCCCATGGAGGGTACTTCTCCAAGTTATTGGGGTCTTCCTCCTTCCCCAAGCAAGTCTTTCATTTTTAATTTTATAATTTTATAAATTTTATTTGTCTATTGATTGATTTTTTTTTTTTTTTGTCCTGGGCCTAGGGCTTGAACCCACGGCCTGAGCACTGTCTCTAAGCTTTTTTGCTTAAGGCTAGCACTGTGCCATTTGAGCCATTCCTCTGTTTCTGGCGGTTTTGATGGTTGATTGGAGACAGGAGTCTCACAGACTTTCCTAAGGCTGGCTCCTCAGATTTCAGCCTCATGAGTAGGATTACAGGTGTGAGCCACCAGTGCCCGGCTTGTTTCAGTTTTTCAAGAGACGAGCTAACTCTGCATTTCTCGTGTTGCAATTGTAATCAGCGTCATTCTCTGAAAATGACTCCCAGTTTCCTGCCTGCAGGTGTGTACAAAGTGACCCCTCGTTCCTGCCACCGTTTTGAGCAGGCCTTCTACACCTACGACACGTAAGCCCGGGATGCGGGGCACTCTGCCGGGGGAGGAGGGCAGCACGTGCTCTCTTCTTTATGTTTTTGTGATTTTTGAGGGAGCAGCAAGGCCAGGCATAACTTGGTTTCTAGAAAAGGGTGTTCAGATGCCTATATAACTCACCTAGGGGATGGAGACAGTTTTCTTTCCCCAAATTCTGGCCATCAGGGTGAAGCCATGTGTCCGGGGGTCACGTGTAGTCTTTGTCACATCTTCCCTCCTTGTTGATGGCCAGTCCCCCAACTCACATCTGCCATGTTTGGACTTTTACAGACGTGTGGCTGGGAACGGGGAAGGTAGAATTGGTTTACTGTTTTGAAAGACTTTTTGATTATGAGTTACTTAGTCCCAGACTAAGAGTCGCGTTGTGTCGTCTGCTTCTTGGCTGGGCCCTGTCTGCCCCTTTTTGGCTGGGCCCTGTCTGCCCCTGTGCGAAAGGCCAGGCGACACTGCCAGTGGCTTCCTCCCTTCTCCCGTTCCTAGGTCTTCACCCAGCATCTTGACGTTGACAGCCATTCGCCACCATGTCCTAGGGACGATCACCACGGACAAGATGATGGATGTCACCGTGACTATCAAGTGAGAAAGTGTCATGTGGTGACCGAGGGGAGGGGGCAGGGCTGAGGGGAGGGGGCCCACAGGGTATAGGGTGGGGACAAGGCTCTGAGGGTATAATAACGCTCATTTCCAGATGTTTACCAAGTGACCTCCCTCTCATACAATAGAGCTGTAAATGCACCGCAGCCTGTGTGTCTTCTCTTAATGATTTAGGAGTTGGTGGTGGCGAGGGTCCTGGTGGCCTTGTTCTGTCCCAAGCTCCTGTTTGAACTCCTTGTACTTCTTTGCTAAGGAGGAAAAAAAAAATCAACTGGATTTTCTTCATAAAATACTTCATCAAGTATTTTAGCAGCTTCAAAAAAGAACTTGCCCCTTTTTCTTTGGCCCTTTGGCCCTTTTTCTTTGGCTTGGGAATAGAGGAGGGTCCCAAGAGAGAAGCGTGTTTGAAAGGCTGGCCAGCCCTCACGAAGGCCACACTCACGGACTGTCCACCTCTCAGATTTTTCTAGCGCCTCAGTTTTCTCAGAAGTGACTGTCACATAGAAAGAACTCTGAGGGGTTCAAGTTGTAGAGCCCCTGCCTGGCAAACCTTGTAACCATCCCTCCCCCCCCCCCCCCCCCCAGGCGATTACTCGACCACGACCACGACCTCCGACCCCCCTGCCCGCACCAGCTTTGTAAGCTCATTTTAGCTCCTTGTGTGACAGGGTGTGACCACTTATGGGACAGAGAAACATTCAATTCCCCAATCCCACACACACAGAAAGAGAAGGGAGAAGAACTCAGAGTAACTTCTTGCTGGCTCTTTCTCCTGTTGCTTTATTCTTTTTCTCTTGTACCCCCTCAAATAACAGGCACACACCACTGCGCCCAACTTTCTATTGGTTGGGATAGAATCTTGGGAACGTTTTTGTCTGAGCTGGCCTCGAATCTTGCTCTTCCTGATCTCTAGGTAGCTAGAATTACGGGTGTGAGCCACCACGTTTGCCTTTTATTTTTTCCCCTAGACTTTTGCTTTTTTTTTTTTTTTGTAGGCCGTGGGGCTTGAACTCTGGGCCTGGACGCTGTCTCTCAGCTCTTTAGCTCAAGGCTAGTGCTCTGTCATTTGAGCCATAGTGCCACTTCTGGCTTTTTTTTTTTTTTTCCTGTTTATGTGGTGCTGAGGAATGGAACCCAGGGCCTCATGCATGCAAGGCAAGCGCTCTACCACTGAGCCACCTTCCCAGCCCTAGACTTTTGCTATTTAGTCAAGCTGTCCTCCTGCTTCAGTCTTCGGGGTGCTGGGTTTGTGGGGGTGCCCCTCATGCCTGGATTTTTTTTCTCTTCTTAGCACTTTGGTCCGATCTGTCTGTTGCTTTCCTGAGTCTTCACAGCAGCCTCTGGTCTGGCCTCGTAGCTGTTATCTTGGCGCCATGTCCTCCATGTGAAAGCCAGAGCGATCTGTTTTGTTGGCGATCATCTCCTTCTCTACTTAAAGCTCCAGTGGTTCCTGCCCCCTTTGCCCCCCAGATTTCTATCTATAGTTTGACCCCTGTAGCCCTATGAGTCTCTCTGGCCTCTTCTTGAAGCTCTCTGCCCCAGGCTGCTTTGTTCTCCATGCTGTCCCTGAAGGCTGCTGTCTGCTGCTCTCTCCTCTCCCTGTCCTGATTCCTCAGGTCTGGCTCCCCATTCCCTGCAGGTCTTCGCTCAGTGTCACCTTGCCAGAAAGGCCTTGACCTACTGTTGTAGAAAGCAGCCTTTTGTGTCCCCCCCCCCCCCTTTCCACGCTGCACTGTTTTTCTCCTTCATGATTGACGTCTGACTTTCTTTTCTGTTGGGTCAGGGGACATAATCTGCTTCCTTCATTGCTGGATCTCTAGCTCTCCAGCCCAGGGGCAAAGGCCAGGCTGGAGGCCCTGAGACCTCCCAGTCCCATGTGAGAACCAACACGTTTCCATTCCAGCCCAGCTCCTGCCTATAGCACTGACAAATGCAGTTCTTATTAAACTCTTAGTGTTTATAAAACATGGAGGAGGAAAAACACAAGATAAGCCAGGCACTGGTGGCTCACGCCTGTCATCCTAGCTACTCAGGAGGCTGAGATCTGAGGATCACGGTTCAAAGCCAGGCTAGATAGGAAAGTCTCTGGGATTTTTTTTTATCTCCAATCAGCGAAAAGCCAAAAGTAGAGTTGTAGTTCAAGTAGTAGTGTGCCACCCTTGAGTGGAAAAAGTTAAGAGGCAGCACCCAGACTCTGAGTTCAAGCCCCATTAAAAATAAAAAACAGCCCCCTGGTATCATTGTAAGGTATTTGGGGCTTGTCCCCGAGTGTCCCCTTGGGGAAATGTCAGGGACATTTGTGCTGACCACAGGGACAGGCACATCTCCCTCCCTCCCCCCTCCCAGGTCTTCCATCGACAGCGAGCCGGCCTTGGTCTTGGGCCCTCTGAAGTCTGCGCAGGAGCTGCGCCGAGAACAGCAGCTGGCAGAGATCGAGACCCGTAGGCAGGAGAGGGAGAAGAATGGCAAAGAGGAAGGCGAGGAGGGAAGGGCCAAGCCCCCCGGCCAGGAGATGGTGGATGAGTTACAAGGTCCCTTCTCTTACGACTTCTCTTATTGGGCCCGGTAAGCACCCGTGTTCCTCCACAGCGTCTTGGTCCTGCAGGGACACAACTGGCCCTGCTGATGTCCTGTAACTCCTCTAGGTCCGGAGAGAAAATCACAGTTACGCCCTCATCTAAAGAGCTGCTCTTCTACCCTCCCTCCATGGAAGCCACCGTCAGTGGAGGTACCTGCCCACTGCATTTAGAAACAGTTTAGTGTGATAATAAAGTACGGTCTTGTCTGTAAGCCATCTGAATAGCTTCTCCCCTTCTCTGTGGCCTGTGAGGTGGGGGGAGGGGAGGGGAGGGGAGGGGGGAAGAGGAGGAGAATCCAGCATCGTTAGGTCTGCCTACTAAAGCCCTCAGCAGCGGAGCAAAGCCTGGGAGGGCTGGGGAGACATCGAGGGTACTGACCTCATGTACAGCTTGCATCTTCTCATTTTTCGTGTTTCAGTTCTGGGCTCTTTCATGGGAAACTTCCAGCAGCAAACTCCTCTCTTTTCCCCTCAGCCCTGTGCTTACGTGGATGTCATTCCTTTCTAGAAAGCTGCCCCGGGAAGCTGATTGAGATCCACGGGAAGGCAGGCTTGTTCCTGGAGGGCCAGATCCACCCGGAGCTGGAAGGAGTAGAGATCGTCATCAGTGAGAAGGGGGCCAGTTCACCCCTGATCACAGTCTTCACTGATGACAAAGGGGCCTACAGGTAAGCGCGTTGCGTGAGCCTGACTGCTAGGGGGCGTCCCGGAGAGGCCACACTTGCTCTGCTATCAGAAACAGCCATTCCCAGCGTTCTGCCTTCTTTCTCCTAGTGTTGGGCCGCTGCACAGTGACCTGGAGTACACCGTGACCTCCCAGAAGGAGGGCTATGTCTTAACTGCGGTGGATGGAACTGTCGGGGACTTCAAGGCTTTTGCCTTGGCAGGCGTGAGCTTCGAGGTACCTCTGTGTTTCCAAAGGGGCGGCACTGCCTCTTTGACCTGCCTCTGGAGAATCTCTCTGAATTGGGACTGCAAGTCTCCCAGAATTCCTAGGGGTTGGCTATGGAGGGAAAGAGGTAGACGCAGGTGTATATTACTGGCAATGGGGTTGGGTCCCTTTTGCACAACCAGATTGGGCAGCTGGCCCGCCTACCGCAGTAACCCTTGACTCTCCCTTCCCCAGATAAAGGCTGAAGATGACCAGCCCCTCCCTGGGGTTCTCCTGTCCCTCAGTGGTGGCGTGTTCCGCTCCAACCTCCTGACGCAGGACAATGGCATCCTGACTTTCTCAAACCTGGTAAGGTGTCCTGCGGTTCACATCTCCCCAGGGAGGGAGCTGGGGCCGTGGCTCAGGGGGCTTCACCACTTGACAACCTGAGAACACGAAGGCTGCATGGAGCGGCTCGGTGTCTTTGGGCACCACGTGTAATGAGAGTCTGGCTCTCCCTACAAAGTGGCCACTGCTGATTCACATTCTCTTCCACGCACGCTTGCTGTCTGGTCACCCACTTGTCACCGGGGCAGTGCCGTTAACCACTCTGGCCACAGCAGCCCCTCCCTGAGGCTTTGTTTTACTGCAGACCCATGGTGTTTGGTGGTGGGAGATGGGGCAGAGGGGCTTGTGGGAATTTGGCACAGACAGGCTGTGGGGCATCGTGAGGGTCACCAGCGTGGCAGATCCGCCATCCAGCCTCCAATCAGCCCTCTGCTACTTGCTGAGCCATATCAGGATGGTTTCTTGGCCTCCCTGATTCTGTTTGGCCTTTCATGAAATTCACATGTGGCTCTCGCCTCATGGAGTGGTTGGAGAGCTGCATCGTTGTACCACAGTGCCACTGTGAGAGCCGTGTCTGCGGCCCAGCACCACACAGACGGGGCTCCCCTTCCTCTGTCTGCCCCGGAAGCTCTGCGGCTCTGCAGTAGGGATCTGGCCATTGTGCCCTCAAGTCATCCCAAATGTGCAGCCGGGCTCTGACTGCACTTGTCTCTGCGCAGAGCCCGGGCCAGTACTACTTCAAACCCATGATGAAGGAGTTCCGCTTTGAGCCCTCCTCGCAGATGATCGAGGTGCAGGAGGGACAGAGCCTGCGGATCACCATCACTGGGTACCGAACGGCCTACAGGTGGGTCTCCTCCTCTCCCTCCCCTTCCCGTCCCCTTCTCTCCCCTCCCCTTCCTTCCCCGCCCCTCCCTTCCCCTTTCCTTCACTTCCCTGCATTCCCAGGCCCTGAGTTCAAGCCGTATGACTAACAAACAAACAAAAACTAGATGGACTTTTTTAAAAGAAGGAAATGTCTCTATTTGAGTAGTCTTCAAAATGTTGAAAGAAAATGTATAGTGTAAAGATTTTCTCCTGACTTCATCTACCACCTTTTGAGGGGTATCTAATGTGTCCACTTTTTCTAGATATGTTGAGACAGATTATACAAGTATGCAGCTGTCCACTAGCTGGATAATGGTGGATGAATAGATTAGATCTATGTGTATATGTATGTGTCCACACGTTTATAAACGTGTGTCCACATGTTTATAATGCACGTACAAAAGCTTGAGACAAGGATTCATCAGATCGGTTGTGGTTATTTTCATGTAACGGAGTGCTTCATTATTTAGAAGATTAGGTAGAATCAGGTGAATCTTAATTCTCCAGAATGTCTGGAGAAGTTGATGATAGCTTCTCCTGCTGGCGGAAGGCTCGATTTGGGAATGGCCCAGGGACCAACAACAAGCCCATCCCCGCCTGAGCCATTTGTGAGTGGGTCACACTGCCTGCTCCTGGTCAGCGCAGGAACACCACCTTCTGTGTCTTCTCTTCTCATGTTAGCTGCTATGGCACTGTGTCATCTTTAAACGGAGAGCCAGAGCAGGGCGTGGCTGTGGAAGCCGTGGGACAGAAGGACTGCAGCATCTACGGGGAAGACACCATGACCGATGAGGAGGGCAAGTTCAGGTTACGTGGCCTCCTGGTGAGCTTTGGGCAGGTTCAGTGACACTGCGTTCACAGGTGTCCCAGGGTGACCCTAAGACTGTCAGGAGTGGGCTGGGGGTGGGGAGTGGCAGCAGGAATTAAGAATGGGCTCTGAGCCTCTCGGTCAGCCAACATAGCAGATCAGGGTTGTGTAGCGAAATGAAGTTTGAAAACCGTGGGGTTGAGTCGTTACTGCCTTTGCCAGCTTGCAAATGCCAGCGGTCATGGGGTTACAGGAGCATTGAGCCCCTGAGGGGAGTGGGGGTGTGGAGAGGACCTGAGAGAGCGTGGCCCAGGTAAAGTGGGGCCGGCGAGGCAGCTCCCTCATCTATCCACACAGAGTTGGCCGTGCTGGATGGTGAGAATTGCTTGAGAGTAGAAGGAAATTGTTTGCAATGGATCCTGATGTTTTAGATGTGAACAAGTAGTTTAAAGGAAAGAGAGGGCCAGGCACCGTGGCTTACCTGTAATCCTAATTACTCAGAAGGCTAAGATCTCAGGGTCGTGGTTTGATGCCAGCCTAGGCAGGACAGTCCATGAGACTCTTACCTCCAATTAACCACTAGAGGACTGGGAAGGTGGCTCAGTGGTAGAGCGCTTGCCTTGCATGCCTGAGGCCCTGGGTTCCATTCCTCAGCACCACATAAGCAAAAAGAAAAAAGCCGGAAGTGGCGCTGTGGCTCAAGTGGTAGAGCGCTAGCCTTGAGCTGAAGAGCTGAGGGACAGCGTCCAGGCCCAGAGTTTATATCCCATGACTGGATACAAAAAACCCAAAAACCAAAACAATTAACCATTAGATAAACTGGAAGTGGAGCTGCAGCTCACAGGGCACTAGCCTTGAGCAAAAAAGCTCAGGGACAATGCCAGGCTCTGAGTTCAAGCCCCATGACTGACAAAAAATAGAGAGAGGGAGACAGAGAGAGAAAGAGAGGGAGAGAGAAACTACAACTTCTTTGTGTGAGCCAGGTAGGCGAACTTTGAGGATTTGCGATTCTTGCTGGTTTTCTAAGTACATCCTGCAGACATCCTGAACAGACTGTCTATTCTGCTGTCTGTGAAATGAGAGTGTGAAGCCAGCTCCCTCAGCCTGGCTGGGAAGATTAAATGAGCACATCTGACATGTTCCAACATGGAGTGTTGTCTGGCCCTAAATCAGTACATGGTTAGTTAACAAAACAGAAACAGCCACTCTCCTCATGGTCCTCTCTCTTTCTGTCTGTCTCACTCTCTTTCTCTCTCTGCTGAGGATCAAACCGAGGACCTTGTGCATGCTGGGCAAGTGCTCGGCCACTTAGCTAAATCGCCAGTCCTTTTGGGGGATAGGGTCTTGCCATGTAGCTCAAGATGACCTGGAAATCCCAGTGTTCTGCATCAGCCTCCCTACTGCTGGGATTATAGATAGGCACCACCCTGCCCAGCTGAGCTGGCTGCTTTTTCTCATTCTAATGTCAGAGGAAGAAAAGAGGCATGGGGACCCTGCAGTTCTCTTACCTGAGCCTCCCTGTCCTGGGGGTGATCTGTGTATCAGAGTTTGAACTTGCTAGAGAGATGCTCTACCATTTGAGCCATTTCCCCTAGGCCTTTATTTTGATTTTAGGGTCTGTTTTGTTTTTAATAAAAGTCTCATGCTTATACTTGGCTGTCCTGCACCATGACCTTCCCTTTCTGTTTTTGCTTCTGTGGAACTCAGATGACAGGCAGGAATCACACGCCTGGCTTTTTATAGGTTGAGGTGGAGTCTACAGGCCTTCATTTGGGATCCTCTAGATCTCAGACTCCTGAGCAGCAATGATTACAGGTGTTGCCACCATGTCCCGATACTCTGCCCAATTTGCTCTCTCCACTCACCTGGTTTCAGGCATTAGAATTGTACGTCAGCTTCTTTGTTCTTTTCATTGTCCTGCTGGCTGCCCTGTTCTTTTAAACTGCAGGCTGGAACAGTTTAAATTAAAGTCACCATAGTTTCCTTCACTGTGGCAAGCGTTCCTTTTTAATTGGCATCCCCACAGCCACCACCTCCACCACAGGTGGCTAATCAGTAGTGTTCTCTCGCATTTGTGAGAGCTGCACAGCACATATCCATTCTGTGCCAGGCCACGTCCAGACCACAGTCTGTGAGGCATGCCTATCTCCCTTGGACCTGCCTGGTCAGGAGCTTGGGATGAGAGTGCCGTCCTTGCCCCGACCTGGAGGCACTGGCCTTACTGAGTTGAGATGAGCACCTGGGCTCATTTGTTCCCTTGGCATCTTGGGAGGTGAGAGGCACAGGTGGGAAGTGGGGATGGAGCGCACCTGTCCTGGGGAGCAGGTGCAATGGAACAGGCGTGGTGGGCTTGGTTGGAGAGGTGACCGCGGGTGTCCTTGCAGCCGGGGTGTGTGTACCACGTGCAGCTCAAGGCGGAAGGCAACGACCACATCGAGCGGGCGCTGCCCCACCACCGCGTTGTCGAGGTAAGGCCCGCAGCGCCTCGGTGCTCCCTGCCCTTCCATACAGACTTAGCTTTCTCCAAGCACCCTCCCCGTGCGTGGCCCGTCTCCCAGGGGGTCCCAGCGACCCTTAGCGAGTCCAGCAAAGCAAGCTGTGGGCTGAGCATTTTCATTCACATCAGGAGAGACAAGGAAGTGAGTGTGGGCATGGTGGGGAGCCAGGCCAACGATGGTCAGATTCAGGTGACCCCATCGAGTAGGTCGTCATCTCCAATTCAAGGTGAGGATGCAGCTCAGTCAAGCCCTAGAGCAGACAACCTCCCCCTCTCCAGAAGTGGCCAGGCCTCATTTGAATTGATGCGCTTCCTCACTGAGGACCTCAGTGGCCAGACCACAGGGGCTTCCTTGAGCCTAAGTGTTTGGAAGGGAGATGATGGCCATTTAGGGCTTTTTGACCTGGGAAATTGATATAGGGCATTGTCATTATTATTTTTGCTATGACCAGGGTTTGAACTCATGCCTCAGTCTTACTTGACTTGCTGGCCTGGATGGTGCTCTACCACCTGATCCATGCTTCCGACCTTGCCTTTTGTCAGTTATTTTGAAGATGGGAGTCTAGTGAACTCTTCTGCCCAGGCTGGCCTTGAACCACAATCCTCCAGATCTCAGTCTCCCGAGTAGTTAGGATTATAAGTATGAGCCATTGGCACCTGGTGACACATGCCTTCTTAAATGGCTGTGTCTCTTACAATATCCTCTTTCTCTGGTGGGTGAGTTAGGCCAGGGTCGAGAGCAGAGATGAGGGCTGTGGCGGGTAAGTATGAAAGCAAGAGAGCCCTCTGGAGGTCTCACAAACACCATGGCTGCCAAGTTCGTCTTCCTCTTGATTTCTAAGAGAAGCTACAAGATCTGGCTTTGGCAATGACATTTCTTGAACATGTGGGTAGATAATTAAAACTTAGAAAATAAATACTGCCATCCAGAATGATGTTTCTGTGGCCAGGAGTATCTTATCTCCGCTGCCCCTGGGTGGCCTTGGACACTTTTCAGAGGCAGCCCTGGCTCCATCCTGAGCCGGAGGCCGCGTGTGGCCCTCGCTCTGTCCTGAGCTGGAGGTCAGGTCCAGCCTCCATGGCAGGCTCAGTATAGCCTTCCTTGTGTCTAGGTCGGGAACAATGACATCGATGACGTCAACATCATCGTCTTCCGGCAGATCAACCAGTTTGACTTGAGTGGAAATGTGATCACCCCCTCTGAGTATCTGCCTACGCTATGGGTAAGCCCAGCATGATGGGTTGTGGTCTGTTTGTTCCCACCTGGCGCTGGCTTTCCAAGAGAGCTGTCGTTGGTGTGGAGATTAAGACCCAGCCAAGAGGGTGAGCAGTGCCAGGGGGAACTTTAGAACTTTGGCCTAGTTTTACAAGGATTTAAAAGATTGAACTCAGTCCTCAAAGCCTTGTGCTTTAGGCTGGTATTGTAACAGTTGAAACATGCCCCTAGCCCTTTTTTTTTTTGTCGGTTGTGGGGCTTGAACTCTGGGCTTGGGCACTGTCCCTCAGCTTTTTAGCTCAAGGCGAGTGCTCTACTGCTTGAGCCACAGCGCCACTTCCGGTTTTATAGTAGTTTATTGGAGATAAGAGTCTCACAGACTTTCCTGCCGAGGCTGGCTTGGAACCTTGATCCTCAGATCTCAGCCTCCTGAGTAGCTAGGATTACAGGTGTGAGCCACTGGTGCCCTGCCCTAGCCCTTGTTGCTTTTAGTTAATTTTTGAGGAGGGTCTCATGCTCATACCCAGGTTGCCTGGGCCACAGCCTCTCATCCATTACCACCATGTCTACCTTTTACTGGTTGAGATGGGTTCTTGTAAGCTTTTCTGCGCCTAGATTAGGCTCAAACCCATCTCTATCTTCTGAGTAGCTAGGATTAAAGATGTGAGCTACTGTGTCCAGCTGGTTTCACATAATTTTTAAATGGAGCTAGCAAAGTCAAATGTAGATGTAGAGGGCAACAGAGAACATACCTGGTCATAGCCATGACCACAGGCTCTAGCGTGTGGCTCCTGATGTGTGTTACAGAGAAAAGTGCCCGCCTGGGCCCTCAGAGGCCGCCTCTGGCCAGTGCAAGGAGGACCCTCATAGCTTTGACCTGGGGTGGGCTGGGCCTCCCTCTTCCTCTGGTCCCACTGAATATGGTATGAGGACAGGCAAGCAATCCAGCAGCCAAGTTTAGAACCAGAGGTCAAGTCCAGATCCAGAGGTCAAGTTCAGATCCTGAGGTCAGGTCCAGAACCCGAAGTCCCCAGGTGCCTCTGAAAGCAGCCTGCAATCCAAATACAGCTGAGCAACTCTGAGTCTTACAAATTCCTTCAGAGTTAAGAGCACGTGAAATAGGAGGCTGGCAAGACCCCTTGTGATGAGGACAAAGCCCAGACTCCCCGCGTGTAGGCTGTGTGTGCTTTACGGGGCAAGCTCTCCGACTCTCCCCAGGGGCCTATTTTGTTGTCAGTATTGATGACTTTTAAAGCGCCTGTTGCATGCTCGGCGCATTAGAGACATTTGGGAAAGGTTAGAAACTGCTTTGCACTGTTCTCCATAATTAGGCTGTGGTTTGCTATTTTGAGCAACAAAGGTCATCCTGGTTATTCCCAAACCTCACATCTCTGCATGGCCTGCACCCACAGCCTGCTGGGAGAGGAGGCTCCTCCCTAGTCTGTCCTTGCAGAGATCCTCTCCCAGGAGCAGCTGTTCTGAGATACCTGCCCTGAGTATTTGCAGCATTTCACGTTCCTAGCTCTGGCCTCTTCATTCCTCCTCCTCAGGTGAAGCTGTACAAAAGCGAGAACCTGGACAACCCCATCCAGACAGTGTCGCTCGGCCAGTCTCTCTTCTTCCACTTCCCGCCGCTGCTCAGAGATGGGGAGGTAACACTGGGGGTGAGGGAAGGCGGGAAGGGCGGCTGCTCCTTTCCTTTCAGTGACCCACTGGACTGTTCAGTTTGGGAAGAGCTCTTCTCTCATCCTCTTCTTTTGTTTGTTTTTGTGCCGGTCCTGGGACTTGAACTGAGAACCTGGCACTCTGGCTTGGTTTTATTTTCTGCACAAGGCTGGCATTCTGCCACTTGGGTCATACCTCTACTTCCTGCCTTTTGCTGCCTAAATGGAGAGAAATCTCTTGGGTTTGTCTTCCCAGGTTGGCTTCAAATCACAGTTCTCAGATCTCAACCTCTTGAGTAGCTGGGATTATAGGCAAGAGCCGCAGGCTGCTTCTTGTCTTCTTGATATACTGCTTTGCAGAAGCATAGACTTTCTGATTAAAAGGGTTAGTCTCTGGTCAAAGGAATCGGCTCTATATGGTTACGTTTTAAGCACTGTTGTTTTATAAAATTAGTACATATTCATGGAGGAGATTTTGGAAAAAAGAACAAAACAAACATAACCCATCATCCAGAAATTTCTTCTACTAATACGTTGATTGCCATTGCTTGGGCCTTTTTAGTCTTTGTGTGTGTGTGTGAATATTAAAAATATTTACTTCTGCAGTAACTCAAAGCTGGGGTTACTTTGTGCATCATTTTGTAGCCTGTGCTTTCCAGTAAACTGTCTCAAAGCTGTCATTTCCTCCCATGTGCACAGAATTACGTTGTGCTTCTGGACTCCACGCTCCCCCGGTCCCAGTACGACTATGTCCTGCCTCAAGTGTCTTTCACGGCCGTGGGCTATCATAAGCACATCACCCTGATTTTTAATCCCACGGTAAGTAGAGCAGGGAGCTGAGAACAACTTGATGGTGGTGAGAGGACAGTCCTCCCATCCCAGACTCTCAGCACCGAGTCTCTCCAACCCGGGTTCTGTATTCCACATCTGGATGTCCCAGAATGCCTTTCTCCTTCCTGACACTGCTGGGTACTGTTGGGAAATAGTCACCAGGGTAGAATCGCTCATATCAGGGGCTCTGGAACCACTACCCTCCCAACTCCGGTGGCTAATGAGGCACCTAGTATCTGACTCACCCAAACCTGTAAAACAACTGCCACCTTCCAGGAACTACAGAGGACACAAGAGCGTTGTAAATGCCTCTAAGGTACAGGACCACAGTGTGGAACATGCTCTATTTGACAAACGATAAGTGCAAACAGATGGACAGAGTACTCTGGGTGAAAACACACTTGGTCAGCAGTTGAGTCAGTTGCATGGTGGAAATCTGCTCATTCTCCTCTTTATTAAATAGTGGGCCTAGGCACTCTGTAGCCTCATGGTCATCAGATGTTTTGGTCTCAGGATGCCTCTACACTTTCAGATTGTTGAGGAGCTCCAAGAACTTGGGTGTATATGGGCTGTACCTGTCTCTATGTCATGTGACTGATAAACCACAGAATTCGGAAACTTGAGAATCCATCAGCTGGCAGCCCTTAGCAGTTGAGTGTTCAGTGGTCTCAGGAAAAGCCACTGTCCTGTAAGAGAATGACAGTGGAAAAGCAGAGACTCCTCAGTCTTGTTCTGAGAATGGTTTTGGCCTCGTGAACCTCCCTGTACTGCTTTGATACCCTCTACCCTGGTTCATGAGCCTGTTTTCATAGTTGTCCAATAGCTTTTGTTTCCTTTGCAGTGTGAGGGCTTCTTGGGAGGTTTGTGCATGTGACGTGAGATTTCTGGGGCTGTAGCAGGATGGCACTTCTTGTGTCACATCAGTGTCCAGAAGCAGTCTGGGATGGCCCCATTACCCCATGGTGTGGGGGTCCTTGCCCCTTCTCTCTAGTTGCTCTGTTCTAAACATCGCTCTTCTCTATTATGGAGCACCTGGCCAAAAGCTGACTGGCCAGGCAGAGGGAGGGCTTGGCATTTTTCACAAGGTGTTGGCCACTTCCATCCATGTGCTCTTGGCTGGCATTGGGTCCTGTGGCTGCACCTAGCTGCAAGAGAATCTGGGAAGCAAGATCTATTCTACTGACCCAGATAAAAATTAGAAGAAAGAGAACAGCCCCTGGGAAAGATGTAATTGTCTTGATTTTATTTCCTCCTTAGGCTGCAGTGTCTGGGACCAGCCTTTTTAGTATCACTGGGCCTAGAATAGTGGCTCCCATTGTGTCCTTGCTACACAAAGACCTGAATATAGCTAGGACCTGTTTACCTCTTAGCTGCAAGGATTTTTATTGTCTGAGTCTGGCTTCCTCAGGGGCAGTGGACGGGTGGAGGAAGTGTACCCTTGATGGGGCCTCTGTGGCTGAGCTGCAGATATTCTTCATGGAGGTCACCATGGTGAAGGACCCATGAGTGCTGGTCCACATGCTTGCATTTCTCCACTGGATAAAAGAGTTTGGTTCTGGCAGGATCTGAGTGCCTGTGGGGAGTTGGTGTGGATGGCTGGGCGGGTTGTGGGAGTGGACAATGGCAGGCAAGAGGGAAGCGTGAGGCCTCCCTCCCGAGGAGAACCAGTGCGCCTGTGTTTGCAGAGGAAGCTGCCGGAGCAGGATGTTGCACAAGGATCATATATTGCCCTGCCACTGACGCTGCTGGTTTTGCTGGCCGGTTACAACCACGATAAGGTAGGAGGGCAGAGGCCTCCAGGTGGCCAGGGGACCTGGGGGAGGATGCAGCAGAAGTGACAGCGTGTTGGAGACCATAAAGTCCTCATTGCTGTCCCCAGTCCCCATCCACAGGCACAGCCTCCAGTGACTTCTCAAGCCAGCACGTGTGGAGGGTTATGTTGCTCGTAGGGTGGGAAGGCCAGCCTCCCTGGGATACTGACTGTGTCTGGAGGCCAGGCACTGCCACAGAAGGGCCCTGGCCTGGCCTCTCTCACACCCCCTCTCTTTCCAGCTCATCCCCTTGCTGCTGCAGCTGAGCAGTCGGCTGCAGGGCGTCCGAGCCCTGGGCCAGACAGCCTCAGACAGCAGTGGCCTGGAGGACGTAAAGAGACAGGCCAAGAAACAGAAGACCAGGCGCACGTGAGGAGAAGAAGCCCATGTAGCCTGAGTCCTGCCCACGTCCCTTCTGTGACCCTGTCCCTCCTGTGGCCCCTTGTCCCTCCTGTCCCCTGTGTCCCTTCTGTGGACACGGTGACCGGAAAACACCCTTTCCTTGTGTGGCTCCCGTGGTGCAATGCAATGAATGGACCCTCCTGTCACTCTGCTGAGCACAATTTATTTTCTGAGTTGAAGATAATTTATTATTATTATTTTTGTCAGAGAAGTATTTAAGCCATGCTTGTGGCGTGAGAATGTAATTCTTCCCCATGCGTACTCGTTGGTGGGAGGCGCTCCGGCCAGGGTGGGCTGCGGCTCTGTGGAGGGCCCCTTCCCCCACCCCCCCCAGCTTCTCCACCTCCCTCCCCTTTGCAAGAAACGTAGCAGCCTCCGCCCACCGCCAGGAGGCACTGTGAGGAGGGCAGATCAATAAAGTCCCATTCATTTGTGTGGTAGCTTGTTTCTCGGGTGACATTGGTGTGACACACACAGGTGCACAGGTGGAGCCCTGCGTGGAGCAGGTGGGACTGTGACCCCTGTGGCCCCAGGGATGGGGACAACAGACAGTGGGATGTCGCAAATCAAAGGCCTCCGCATCTAAAGGAGGCACATGGCTTAGCTCAGGTGCACCATCACCCTACAGGAGCATGCGCTCTGTTGGCCAGAGAGGCCAGAAAGATGAAGTTTGGGGTGAGTCCCCCAAATTTTAAGGACATATAGCACGATCGTGTAGAGTGGGTGACTGTGAAAGGCTCTGCTTTGTGTAAGATCTGCGGGTATCCATTGATCCTGGCAGTGGGTAGGAAGTCCTGGTAAGAGAAAAAGTAAGGGCGAGGAGGGAGGGAGGGCCAGGCCCTCTGCCCAGTGCGCTGACAGCCTCGTGGACTGGTGCCTGTGGCAGGAAGAGCAAGCTAACACCTGTGCACAGAGGCCTAGGTGGACACGCCAGTACACAGGCTCCCTGGGAGAAGCCCTGGCTCCTGAGCCGCCGAGGAGCTGCTGTGTGGCTGGCAGCTCAGCCCTGGCCTCTTTCATAGTTTGCTGTTACTGCATGAGGAAGGGGAACTGTGTGCAGTTGGGGATCAGATGTGAGACAGAATCCATATCATGTTTCTACTTCCTATTCCTAGTGGACACCCCGAACCATCCCTTTAAATGTTAATGATGCTTTTTATCAGTGCTGTGTAAAAGGTTAAAAGCTTGTGAAAGACAAGCAAATGTCACCATGCTCTGGCCAGTTCCTAGTGCTGTCATGAAGCGGTAGCCTGTCCCCATTGCTGTGGGACACGTCCTCCACTGTGTCCAGCAGGGACTTCCGGCAGCATTTCTGCGTCCATCTGCAAGCTGGGCTTTGCCCGTTGTGTATGGATTCTTGCATTTTCTGGCACTCTCTGGACAGAATTCCATTTTTTTAAATTTTTTTTTGGGGTCCGGTCATGGGGCCTGTACTCTAGGCCTGGGCGCTGCCCCTCAGCTCTTCAGCTCAAGGCTAGCGCTCTACCACTTGAGCCACAGCGCCACTTCCAGCTTTTTTCTTTTTGCTTATGTGGTGCTGAGGAATGGAACCCAGGGCCTCAGGCATGCAAGGCAAGTGCTCTACCACTGAGCCACCTTCCCAGCCCATGGACAGAATTCTTAAGAAAGGAGCAGAGGTTATAAAGATCAACTGTCCCGGAGACTCTGGAAGTGGCAACTTACTGGAACATCTTGTATTACACTTCTGCTTATTAAAATGGCCATAAAAATGGCCCAAAGGCCGGGCTTAGTAGTGTACACCTGTGATCCCATCTACTTAGGTAATAAGCATAGGTAATAAGCTTGATGGTCTTAAGACCAGCCTGGGCAAAAGTGCAAAATCCCATCTGGAAACTAAAAGCAAAGAGCCTGAGGGTGTGGCCCTACTGGTAGAATGCTTGTCTAGCCATTGCTGAGTCTGAGTTCACTCTTCAGGACTGTAAACCCAAAACAGAACTACCCACAAACCTTAACATGGACACCCCAAGGGGCTTCAAGGCAGTCATTACCAGGCGGTCGCTTCCCCTTGCTTCTCTAGGCCTTCTGACACCTACCGGCTCTCAGTGTGGGGTGTGGTTGCTGAGGGGGCACAGGATGGCCTGTTGTGAGGGTCACGCTCTGGAAGCAGCCAGCCCAGCTTGCAAGTGGTGTCTGCAGCCCAGGCAGAGAACACAGCTCTGGTTGACATCTGATGGCTGCCACTTTCTTGTTTCTTGGTAGTCCTGGGGTTTGGATTCAGGGCCTCACGCTTGCTGGGCAGGAGCTCTACCACTTGAGCCACACTCCAGCCCTTTGTTGCCTTGCATATTTTTTTTTTCTTTGCTTAGGATCTGTTGCCTAGGCAGGCATCTCCTACTTAGGCCTCCCTTGTAGCTAGGATGACATGATCACCACCACATCTGGCTCTTCCCTATTTTTTAAATGCTGGTCCTGGAGTTTGAACTCAGGTCGGGGTGCTGTCCCTAAGGTTTTTTGCTCAAGGCTAGTTCTTTTTTTTTTTTCTTTTGCAGAGCTGAGGACTGAAGTCAGGGCCTTACACTTGCCAGCAAGTGCTCTTCCACTGAGCCAAAATCCCGACCCCCTAAAGCTAGTTCTTTACCACTTGAGCTATACTTCCAACTTTTTTTAAAGCAGTTAGTTGGAGATAAGAGTCTAACAGACTTTCTTGCCTGGGCTGGCTGTGAACCATGATCTTGAGATCTTGGCCTTCTGAGTAGCTAGGATTACAGGCGTGAACTATCAGTGACTGGCTTCTCCCCTAATTCTTTACCTAAGGAATCTGTAACAAGGATATATGATTGCACTCTTTATTTTGGAGTAAGTGATGCAACGTCCGACACTGCTCAGCATTTGCTGGGTATTTACCCAGCACACAAATAGACATTGGAGGGGAGACTTCCAACAGGAAGACTCTTGGTTTCAGAAACCCAGCTCCAACTAGCTTGAGCAAAATGGGGCATTTTCCTTTATTCAGTGGAGCAGCGCAGGAGTGTCAGCATTCATGAGCAGTCGGGTCTAGGGTTTCTGTCATTCTGGCTCTGCTTCCTCTGTGTGGATGTTGTACTGCCTGCCCTCGAGGCTCCGAGAGACCACTCTGCCAGCACCGGCCGAGCACATCCTTTAGTGCAGGTGCAACATGCGAGGCTCCATCACCACTAGTGGCAGGGCCCAATGTGCAGGCGACAGGCAGCTGAGAGAAGTCTTGGGAAAGTGGCTTTTGCCAATTTGTTCTGCCTGAGGAAGTCACCACAGTTTGTAGACCCTACAGAAGAACTTCCAGCTTGTAATACCCTATGTCAACCCCAGCAAAGGCGAAGGACCATTGGACAAGCTGCCCACACCTATGACCTATGACCTCTGACACACAGTGCCTGTGATCATCCAAGAGCTGGGTACAGCAGATCATGCCTGTAATCTCAGCACTCAGGAGACCAAGGCAGGAGGATTGTGAGTTTGAGGTTAGCTTGGGCTACACAGCAAGATTGTTTTACTACATCCCCACCCATCCCTTCCCTGCTCCTCTATGAACATAAAATAGCCCAGCATTCAGACTGTGACCAAAGAATTTTTGTCAATAAAGTTTTATTGCAACACGTTATTCATTATGTGTCACTGATAGCTACTTTGGATGGACAATAGCAGAGTTGAGAAGTTGCCATGGAGATTGTATGACCCACAAAATATTCACTGTCTGGTTTGTTACTGGCCGAGGTTTGCCAAGTCCTGGCACAGGGGCAGGGAGAGGTTCTGTCGCCCCCATGACAGCAGGACGTAGGAGGCGCCCCCATTGTGAGGGCCATGTCAGTCTTTTTCCCAACAGAGCCTGACTGGACACAGCCCAAGATGCACTTCTTTGGAACCTAAACGGATCATTAATATTGAATGTTTACAACTCGCTCGCTCCAGTTGATTCAATTTAATTTCTACTGTCTCTGGTCACGGGCGTCTACGTTCAAGGGTCAAGGCTGAAGGTCTTTCTGTTTTCTGAAGCCCCGGAGTGTATTGATTCTGTGAGATGTTCATCTTTCTGAAAAGAGCATTCCCTGACGTGACAGGAGAGATCACACTTTGCTTGTTTGCTGTTCCTTTCCATCTGGTGAACATGATAAAACTGTGACCTGGCGTCACCCAGGAACCCCCGCGCCTCTTGGAAGCGGAACGTCTCTGACTTGGTTTCCTTTTTCAGCTCTTTCAGGTCAGTGGGGAAGGTAGAATGGGAAATACATTTCCTGGCCTAGGAACCAGTCAGATGTGAGTTCGAGGCCTGCCTTCCCGGGGGAGCTGTCTAGTGTTCCTCAGCCTCGGGCTGACCAGCAGCAACAATAGGGGACAATAGCAGCTCTCCAGGGCCAGCATGAGAATCAGTGAATGGCTCTTGTGGGGCCGTGGGCCCAGGGCTGGGTTCATGCCACCATCCCTGGCACTTGGTTGGAGAGCAGATCATAGTGTCTGGTCAGATTGGACAGTACTTGTGTCATGTCAGGTGTTCGGTATTTTGAAAATCATCCCCAGGGAAAGCTAAATGACAGGTCATCATCACAGCTCTACCTGGATCCTTCTATTTGGCCAGCTGTCCCCAACTTGTCCACACCTGTCCCTAGCTGCTGTAAGTGCTGGCTGGCTGACGGCTCCCAGCTGTCCCCTTCTCTGGGATCACCCACAGGGGGAAGCCACCTCACCTGGAAGGAAGGGAGCCATAATCTCAATGACTCATTTATGTGGTCCTATGGAATGACCAGTCCAGTATGACCAGCCAGGATGGATGGACGGATGGATGGATGATGCAGCCCATACTTCACAGCTCCTCCTGGATCAGGCTGAGGCTGGACTTGAGGGACCATATTTTCATTGGCCTTGACCATGCTGTGTCCTGCCGTCCACACTTCTCTCAGAAGCCATCCTTCAACGTTACATCGTCTCTCAAGTCCCCAGTTCTGGCTTTGCCACTGGGAAGGGTTCTCAAGACCACCAGTGTCTGATTTATAGAATGTCATCTTCCTGCGACATCTCAGACTGTGGTCACTCTCTGTGGGGTCTGCAGGCAGGTGACCCAAGGACTTTGTCACACACGTTTTTTTCTCTGACACACACCAACAGGATGCGCATAGACTCCAGGCGCCTGCACACTCCATGGGACCCTGTAGGCTGCGGTATGATCAGCAGAGTGTGTGAGACTGTGTGTGTGCGCGAGGGTACACTTGTACAGTAAGAGGTGACCACAAGCTGCACCTGAGCTCACCTCTCCCTCCTGCTGCTCACGACCCTTCAGGCAGCTGACTGCTGCAGATGAAGAGAGCCTCTGGGAGCCTTATGCATCAGGGCGCTGGCCTGTCCCCGCCATTACTGGGCCTCCTGGCCTCTGCTGGCTTTGAAAGTCTTCGAGCAGCACCATCCAATCTGGGAATGTCTCGGCCTAGGCACCACCCCCACCCT